ATCAATTATGATTCAGATAAGTCATTTGGGTATTGCTGTTGTAATAATATTGTTTTGTTATAATCAAATTAATTGTTGGTGTTGAAAATAAAAATAAATCTGAAACCTTCTGTACGACTGAACACCTATAATAAGAATCTGTATCAACTGGTTTGTTCCTTGTTTATTATTATAATTTATTATTTATACCAGTTGGTGGCTACAGATAGTATCGCATATATTGGTTTCTAAAGATAAAATAGTTAATTTTCCGTTATTTATAAATATGTACGTATCATTGTATAATTGATTCAAATAATCTATAGAAGTACCCTCTGTGCACATTATAAATACATAATAATAAAATTAAGATATAAAAATTATTTATTATTGTTTTCAAATAAATATTTTTTTTATTATTAATAAAAAAAATGTATTCTGATAATGCAGATAGGCTCCTAGACTTAAGGCCCAATCAACCAACATTTCTTGCATTCCCATATTTAAGCCACTTTGTTTAAGTTCATATTTCATAACGTAACTAAGTACGTAGAGTGAATATTAACTACGTAACATCCCACCGTTATTCGCGTCCACGATGCAAACATTATTTTAAAAAATGCTGTATTCAAAATGTCACCAAAGTCAATCTTGTAATAGTAACCAGTGGGTACCTACCAACTGTTTTACATTTACAATTTAGGCAGTAATAAATTAAATTAATATTTAAAATATCATAAACAAATTATATAAGGGCTATATAAATTGTTGTGCGTGGATGGTATTTTATACATCCTTTATATTAATTTCATACTGAACTACTGAAGTAATCATTCCCACTGAAATTGTCAAATATATTACGTTTATTTTTTGTTCAGATTTCCTTTTTGTCCTAAATAATTCAAAAATATTTCAAATATTTCAAATTTATATTATTATTCCTGAATGGCAATCACTTATGACTTATCAATATTTTTGAATATCAAAAAAACCTCACCTATTCTATACAACTTCCAGATATATAGTTAACTCAATTCGTTTCATAACAAAATAATGGATGTTCGAACATGGACGCGTTTTCGCGCCACCTTGGTTTCGGCATAATATTTCCTCCTAGCGATACAACGGACGAAGAAGTTCGTGAGGTGGCTTAGCCCCTCCTCTGCCGTCTAGGAACATGCTGTTGGGCCGTGAGTGCCACCGATTGTACACTTATATACCAGAGGTCGAAGTGGTTCAAAATACTTGGAGAGATGCCTTTCATATTTTATACAGTTTTCATATTATATGGTCATATGGTTTAAACAGTCGTACATCTTGTAGTTTCTGGGAGAGAGGGAGGGGGTAAGCATATACATTTTTTATATAGTTATATATTTTTTTATATTATATCCTATTAATATTATAAATGCGAAAGTTTGGACTTTGTTACTCTTTCACAGTTTCACGTAAAAACTACTGTATGAATTTTAATGAAACTTTACAATAATATAGCTTATGCATCAGAATAACATATAGGCTACAAATCATTCCCCAGGTCCAACCAGAGGATGTGCTCAAACGGGGATTTAGAGATATACGGTGGGAATTTTTGTTTATAAATGGTTGTTATGGGTTTTAAAACTATTATAATAATAATTATTGGTTGCTGTGAAATCAGTGTATTCATTCAATGCATTTATTTTTTTTGTACATATGATTGATAAATTTTGAACACCATACACTGAATATTAAATAACGAATTGAACAAAGTTTGAGTCATATAGAGTTGATACATTTAACGGGTAACAAAGTGCACGGGATCAGCTAGTAATATAATATGTTTTTGGTTTTTAGTTTGGTGTTTTATTTTCGCATTTAACTATAATTACCTACATTTATTTATTGTATTTATTTTATTTATTAACTTTTGTAAAATTAATTCAAAAAGTTATAACTTTGAACTCCAGAATCGAAAAATTTCAAATTCCAATTATTTGAAAATTCATATTAATAATATAGTATAAGTGGGTAATATGTGAAAAATGCACTTCAAATACAAATATAACAAATGAACAAAATATGCTTTTTTATATGGAAAAAAATAGCTAAATATAAAAAAGGTGCTCTGCTGTACAGTAGGTTACAAGTTGGTCACTGTATAGTGGATGGTATTAAATTTGAATTCAATGATATAATATCATTGTATAAGAAAATCGATTCTGAGCGAAGACGGTATGCCAGTCTAGGTATAAGACATATTATATACTTGTAATATACCTATTATATTGCTATACTTATAAATAAAAACACAGAATAACTAATAGCTACGGTCCGTATGGAGTGTGGGGTGACCCGGTGTACATACTACATAAACATATATACGCCAGTGGATATTTTAAGAAATTATCACTGGGCGACATGAAAAAAAAACATATTCACCCTGACTGTTAAAATCAACATATTATTATGAGCTTATGAAAAATGTTCAGTGTTAAATATTATAGAAAACATTACCTATATCTAATAATACCATCAAAACTCACAACACATAAATAATTACAAATAATTTATGAGTTATGTAAATTAGTTTAGTAGCTTATGTCTTATGAGTTAATTTATTTTATTCTCACGTTAAGTTAATTTTATTCCTAAACCTGTAACCACAGATTAAAATATATTCAATTTAAAAAAAATGAATTTAAAAAAAAGTAATAATAGGTAATCCAAGATGTTAAATATTATATTAATTAATGAATAATAATTTCTAATAATAGTTATTATATTGAATATCCACAGAAATTCAGAGAATATTAATAATATTACACCAATACGTAATACCATTGATTATAAATACTATTATTTTTATGAGTATATTTTATAACCAATGGTAATACGTTATACGAGTATCATATTATTCATATTATTATTAAGACGTAAGTATACCTATATTATATTTAATTTATTATTATTGTATTTTTTAATATTGTTGAAAAGGAGGTTAAAATGTGGATCGACAAAAGATAAAATATACAACACAATTTAGTTATAGTAAGAATACGTAATATTTCACTAAAACTAAAACACATAACTAAGTATGAAAAGTAATTTGACTTCTAACAATGTAAGTACTAAGCTTACGAGATATACATGACATACACATAAGTAATACCTATAATGCAGTGCCTACAGTACACAACTAAACAACCTTATATACTAATGATCTACTGACCCCTGGCTCACGCCACTTTACAAGCTTGCTTATTGGCTAATACAATATCACGCCATATGTGGTGTGATTTATCAGATTCTAGTAACAGCTATATTTTGTTATACACAATATGATTATACTACTAATACAATATTAAATTATATTCAACAAATATGTTATAATTAAAAATTATCGAAAATAGGTACTGTATTTAGTCAAATCCAAGTATAAAATATTAGATTTTAAATTATTTCATACTTAATGAAAGACGAAAGTTGTCCTGTCATCGTACTATCATCGTATGACGTACTCATAGATATTATAAGACTAATAATGGATATCTACGGACGTATTACCTTGAAAGCTTGAATATTTAAACTGTTTAAAGGTTCAAAGTGAAATAATTATTTAGCTAATAGCTTGTAGGAACAATGACTAAAATAATATCAAAAACAATCAATTTGTAGATATTTTCAGGGAAGACTGATGACCAGATAAAACATTTTGACGAATTGTCGCGTGCAGCGTGGAATAAATTGTTTTATTGAATTGTATTATTCTATGGTACCTATCTTATCTAAGCTACGGTGAACGGTCACATGGGTTTTCCATTGTTAATAATTATTTGTCAAACGAAATGATATAGGTAGGTACGTCATAAATAAATAACAAAATTAAACATAATAATTAATAAATATTCAAAAAATGAAATTACATAATAATTTCAAACATCGACATTTTTACAAAAAATCGTTGTCGCCCAGTAATTAAATATACGGTCCACTAGGCGACAAAAAGTTTTCTCTAGGTGACATTTCTGTCGCCCAGTATAAAAGTTAAAATATCCACTGATATACGCATTAGGCATATATTTACGCACCCTCGCGCTCGTACACACACACGACACATGCAAAACATAAATAATATTGATAACCTCTCCGACCAGACGCCTAGTAAAAAGAAAATCATCAATTATCAATGGCGCCAGACGACACCGCATTGTAACTCATATACCTACCTACTTCAAGACCCCGTCGACAATTTTCCGATCAAGACGTTGGAACATAATAACACAATAAATAACCAACGGCACCTCTGTCATACCGCTGAAGACAAAATCATAAACACATCAATAAGTGAAAGAAGAAGGGATTACACCAAAATCATATTATATATAAGGACCCCACGGGATCGACTCGCCACCCAGTTTTTTCCACAAGAAAACCCGATGCACAATTTCTACGCCAGTATGCACTTTGACAATATTTTTGCCATTCAGAGCGGGTGCGTTTATATGTGTATGCATATTGAGTTATTCCAGCTATCGGTATGACCATCCAATTAATTATCCCATATTACTCAACAAATTCACCTTGTTTTTTTTTAAATTTATTAATTCATCCACCCCATAGGCGTAAAATGGGGGGGGCGAGAGGGGGCAACTGCCCCCTCTCACAAAATTGAACGGGGCAATGCCCCCTTGGTATTTTGTAAATTAATTTGAAAAATATTATCAAAAATGCATTTTAGATTTGTAAGAATTACTTTTTCGAAAAACTAAAAAGTATATTTTAAAAAGATTATCTATAGAAAAAAAGAAAAGACATTCCGCTATGTTAGTCCTGATTATCAAAATATTTTTATAAATTTGATGGGTCAAAATGTTATGAATCAGATAATTGAAAATGTCAAAAATGCAGGTGTGTATAGTGTAATAATGGATGAAACCCAAGACATGAAAAAACACGAGCAAGTTTCTATAGTTTTAAGATATTGTGATACACAATTAAACGTATTTGAAAGTTTTATTGGGTTTTATAGAACAGATAAAATGGATGGAGAATCTCTTTCAAATTTACTTAAAAATACTCTACTAACATTAGGTCTAAAAATCGAAAATATCAGAGGTCAATGCTACGACGGTGCAGCTTCGATGCGTGGTTCATACTCAGGAGTTGCTAAAAGGATTAAAGATGAAAATAAACTAGCCCTGTATGTACATTGCTATGCTCATGTACTAAACTTATGTGTAGTTGATGTTAGTGGGAAAGTAGTACCAATTCGTAACATGTTTGGTATTTTAAATAAAATTTATACGTTTATAGGAGCTTCTTCAAAAAGACATTCAATATTTGAGAGAATACAAAAGGAATCAAATTTATCCAACAATACTTTAAAATCACTTAGTGACACTAGACGGGGTTGCCGAATAGAAGCTATTCGTTCTGTTATAAATAATTTTAATTCTATTGTTTTAACCTTAGAAAATATAAATGAAACAGACTCTACTCATGGCCCTGATGCAAATTCAATATCAAATAATATTCAAAACTTTGAGTTTATATTTTGTTTGAAGTTAATGAAGTTAGTTTTTGAATTAACCAACTCCTTGTCACAACATTTTCAAAAAAAAATGCTAACTTCTCTACTATTTCAATATTAACAGCAGCTACTATTGTGGAGCTACAGTCTCTTCGTAGTGATGATAGTTTTGATAAAATTTGGACAGAAACAGAACAGCTAGCTTCCAAAGAATCTATTTCACCACCCACAATTCCAAGAATAAGAACAATACCTTCAAGATTAGGTGGTGGTGAAACTTTAATTTCGAGAAACGTTGCATCATATTTCAAGACTAATATATATTTTCCTGTGTTAGATATAGTTATACATGATATAGAAACAAAATTTGCAGAAAACAATTTAAAAATACTTATTGCTCTTCAAAATTGTTTAAGTACTAGAAACCACAGGGATGAAGATATTTTAGAAGTTTGTAACACCTACAATATTAACTTTGATGACTTAAAGGCAGAATTAAAACTGTTTGGGAAAATGTGTTCATCAACTAATATTGATGAACATTTTGAAGCCCATTTAACTTTGTATTTAGAAAAAGACTTGATTGGCTCATTTGACAATATTTACCTTCTTTATAAAATTTTTCTTTCTATTCCAATGAGTTCTGCTTCAAGTGAACGTTCGTTTTCATCTCTTCGTCGCCTCAAAACATTTACAAGAAACACGATTGGCCAAGAAAGACTTAGTAGCTTGGCTATTTTACATATTGAAAAAACTTTTGAAATTAACTTTGATACAATTATTGATCAGTTTGATGCAGATTCAACAGAAAGAGGTAGAAGACTTCAATTGTCATAGACTTATTACAACATTATAATATTAGGTTTAAATTTTAATAATGTTATAAGTATAATCTTTGTATTTATGTATAAATATAAATTCCATTTTATTTAAAAATAAAGCAACAGGTAGAATATATAAATGCAGAATGTTTTTATTAAATAAACCATCATCTTATCAAGCTTTTTCCGTCATGTCATTTAATTTTACATGCTACATTAAAGATTTATCTTAGATAATATTATTATGTTATGCTTTCCAGTTTCCATTGATTAAGTATATTTAGTGTCTTAATTAATATCTAAATACCAGTATACGGTATATCGACATAAAATAAAATTTGCCCCCCCATAAAAATTGCCCAAGTTACGCCCATGATCCACCCCCTTACAATACGAGACTCTGTGACTATCGTCGTATAATAGTTATAATTTTAGACTGGAGTTTACCAATTGCGCTTAAAATGACCTTTTAATATACCAATTGCGCAATGTCTTTTTTGGGTCGATATATACCAATTATTGCGCTCTGTTTTTTTTGGGTCGATATACCAACTGCGCTCTGTCTTTTTAGGGTCGATAGACCAATTGCGCTCAGTTATTTTCAGGGTTTTAATATTATTCTAATAAAATAATATATATATATTCATATTAATATTATAATATTATAAAAATACTATATATAATGAAAATAATATGTATTATAAATAGATTTTTTCAGTCAATACAAAAAAATTATACAATGAACGTCAATTTTAATAATATTTGTACAATATAAATCCATACCAAATCATACACATAGATACAGGTCAATAATACATAATTAATATACATAAAAATATAAAAATATAATTACATAACATATAATTCTTTGCTAATAATTATCAGCTTGTAGCTTATCGTATTTTCCCGTAATTTCGTATACGTTTTGCTTTAAATTGAGTATTTTTGAATGTATATTAGTTAGGTAGCTATATTTAATTGACTATTGAGTATATACATATGTAACTTTTTCCGCCGTTTAGGAACTTACATATCTCCATGTAAAAATAAGGAACCTAAAATATAAGTAGCGCAATTGGCGTACTGAACTAAAATTTAAGCGGCGCAATTGTTGTACTGACCTAAAATTTAAGCGGCGCAATTGGTGTACTGACCTAAAATTTAAGCGGCGCAATTGGTATACTGACCTAAAGTACAAATATTGTTTTAGGCGCAACTGGTCCATTTAGACATGCCCTTTTAGACACGTATTAATATTATTTAATTATTTTTAGATCTTAATTATACTTATTTATTTAGAACATAAGCGTAATTTTAAATGCTCATTCAACTTAAATTACATTCTGTTAGCCAGTCGACTATGTACGTTTGCCGTGGATGTAAGAATTTCTAAGAGCGTACGATTATAGTCACGTCCCAAATCATAGTTTACAAATTCATATAATATTAGTGTTCGAATCACATCAATATTATACATAGAATTAACCAAAAAATATCTCTGAATATACTAAGTATTAAATATACAAATCAATACACGTAATATACATATATATATGTATACCGCAGTGATTTCAAGCATTGAACTCAACCCCATATCCACAAATATGACTACATAGGTATTAGGTACTCAGGTAAATTAATTATAATATTTCGTAATACGTTTATGTATATACATTATTATAAGATACAAGATATAATAGAATAGTAGATTAATCATATACGTATAGGTATATCCTTTAAACTAAAGATATAAAATCACAAATCAACTTAAAATAATATCAGAACACCGATAACATATACCCAAAATATAACACTCCCCTTTTTAATATATAATAATAACTGTCTTTACTATTTATTATTATCTATCTCCTTTCCCCTATCTTATACTTATTTTTATTCTACTACATACTTATCTATGGTATTAAAAAAAATGACCTATAATAGGTACCTATAATAAATTCTAAATAAATCATATCACAATATCTATTAGGTACTTATAACGCGTTATGCATCAACTACAAACCTTGATACTATATCATAGATACATATAATAGTGTACTTTAGAAGCTTCAAGTAGCCACGAATAATATTATACAGTCACAACAAAATAACTAAAATAGTTATTCTAGGTTTTTTATTATGTAATTTCGTCCAAATTTTAACTTAAAATGACTATAAAAATAAACTGTGCTAATGTATTTTTTAGATTTTTGGTAACAGAATTAACTACTTACGTGGAATCTTATTGTAAACTTTCAATCCTTAGATATAAAAGTTGAACATTTTATAAATTTTTAACTACAAAATAATTATTCAATTTTAAATTTGATACATTTTTAAATAGTTCATACTTTCATAAACTTTGTGTAATGATAGAAAAGCTAGTCCATCCAACATCCCGCAAAAATGACTAAAACTGTCGTTATTTGTAGGTATGCAATTTATGTAACCCTAGATTTTGTATTTTCCGGTACGTGTTTTGACACATGTGATAAAAACATCCTCTTATTTCTAATTCAAATCCAATTATTTCATGAGCAGCCTAGATAGTCGCTTGCTCAAAGTCAATAATATATGTAACACTTTTGGATTAGGAAAAAAATTACGTTCAGCACCTTTCTCGTAAAAAATACTAAACATTTTTTATAAGTACTTTTTGTTTTTCTTTCTAATAAACAATAAACAGCGGTCACAAATACGTCTTTTTTATATAATTTTTTTCCGGACTTTTTTTCCTTTGAGTTGCATACCTCGGACATTTGGTACGGTGGAAGTAAATTGATAAAAATCGATAGCGGACACTTTGTACGATATAAATAAACCATGAAATATATTTTTTGTCACGCCTGCACCGAAAGTTTGGTTTTCGATAGAAATTGAAGGGTTGGAAAGTGTCCTTTTTCCGTCCAGTGGGCGGTAAAGTGGGAACCCCAAAAAGTGCCGGGTGGTAAAGTGGAAATCCCCAAAAGTGCTGCCCTCACATATCACGTATACCCTGCGCAACAGACACTGAAATCTATACCACGGTCCTTACAAAACATAAACTTATAATCACATTATAACCTCCATGCGTGACGCTTATAACTAGGTAATAAAACAAAATCATTTCTTTCTTGAAATATTGTTGTCGTAGAATTATAGTCTGGTTGTTGCACAGATCCCTGCGTTAGTAGCATTACCTTTGCCTTGACAAAAAATAGTATGTGTGGCTCGTGAGGGAAAACAATTTTAGTCTTTGGCGAAATGCAGCCCTGAAATGCGGTTTGTGCCTCACACGTGGCCCGCGACTGAAATAGCTCACTTCCCGCCCTTGCTACACAATATACAATTACAAGATAATAATATAAAATAAAATTGCTCAAAACTATAGACCGCGAATGGCGAATCGTGATCGCAACCAGTATGAGACATGAGTTTGGTGACACAGTACACTCCATACACAACGGATACGCTAAAATACAATATGGACCAAAACCAAACTACTAAACTTAATCCAAAAATTTTTAAATATGGATAATGGATATGAATATACTATTTTAAGAATAAATAATTATGATAATAAAATAATTACACATACACAATTACTTGAAATAATTTGCTATACCTACTTTAAATTTTAAAATTTATATTATATTATGACTTGTATTTGTGGACTTGGATTTTGACTATGACAGTGGATTTTTTTAAAAATTCACGAAGCATGTACATTGTACATAGCATGAATTTATTGTCATAACTATTATTATTATTTATGTCCGTTAACTATACACGTGTTTTGTAATAACAAATTATGTGATATGTATACATTTTTTTCTACGTCAAATAGTACAAACTATCCGCCATATACATTTTATAATTTATTACTATCTGAAATAGTACAAACCGCCATATTGACTGTTATTACTACCTAAAATAGTATAGACTGCCCGCGGTTTTAATTTTTTCTACGTGACTGTACTAATACTTAATAGTGTCCTACAACCGGCTAGAAGACAATATTAGAGAGTTCAGACAGGTCCCCGAGAACTTGTGGTTCTCGGATTCTATCCTGTGGTGTCCTTAATCACAGGATTAACCCTGTGTGGCTGATCCCCTACGCTTCGTCAGAGCAGGTAGGCATGGAAGGATTGCACTGCCCTCCTAAGCCAAAAGGCAGTAAGCAACAATGTAATAGTTTTGAGAAAACAAGTAGAATCCAATAATGCTTATGGATAAACTCTAAGATACCTCTTAACACCTCAAAACGTATATACGCACTTTTAGCCGAGTGTTGTGAGACATTAATATTATTGTTTACAGAGGGAAAATATTTTAAAGGAATATTATTTATCCGGTAATGCAAAAACTAAAGTTGCAACTATAACGTTGATATATTACCGTATAATTTAACCAAACGTTATTGTTACCGGAGTGTCTTACGCTTACCGGCTTTGTGCAAAAACTCTTTATTACTAAGAAAAGTTAGAAAAGTTATACCATGGTCAGTTACTGCCTTTTTGCTTAATATCATTCATATATTTGTAAATACGTATATGTTTAACCACGTTTATTATACAATCTATTGCATTTTCGGTATTTTTTTTTTGTTCTTGAAATTTATATCATTTCTGCTTCGACCATTTGGTCATTAGCATTACACTATAAACATAAAAACATAATATTCATAATGGTGAACAGATCAAAGATTTAAAAAAAAAAAAAAAAAATATCTGCGATGGCCGGGAATCGAACCCGGATCAACTGCTTGGAAGGCAACTATGCTGACCATTACACCACCAACGCATGGGATTTGAGATGTCTGATCAATGTTATGTAGAGTCAGAGACGGATTTACACAATTGCCGCCCCTAGGCAATTTTTTTTTTTGCCGCCCCATTAAACGAATTTTTAAATACTCATTTAACAATTATTAACATAAGTACTAAAAAAATGAATCATAAAGACTGATACTAAACAATAATTAATGGCAGTTATGTTAATAAACTGTTCTAATAAAATGTGTTTATAAAATATAGT